ATAGTGTAGAGCTTCATGTTAAACTATATAGTGTAGAACTTCGTGTTAGACTGTATTGTGTAGTTAAATTATAATGTGTAGAGCTTTATGTTAGACCAGAGCTGTCCGCGAAAGCGGAGCGTCTCCGAGGAAACTTGGAGGCGTCCACATGTGGTGTTGCCTCTTCGTGGCGTGACAGTCTAGTAGGGAGGTTTTGTTCGCCGACGAAGGCTTTCTGCCGACACGTTCGTTGTTTTGTTGCATTTCTTTTTTCAGGTTTAACCCTACTCTGTTTTACTCTTTTTATATTGTGCGAACAGTCTCTCCCCTAATTACCCTTTATACCCTATTTACTATTATCCTTCCTACGCCACTCTCCCCTGAAATACCAAACGAACGTGCCAAGTGTGGAACCCTGCTTTAATGAATTCGAGAACCTCTTCGGTACGGGACCGAGTGGACTGCATGCAAACATTAATTTCATGATGTTTCTTGAAGGTAATACATTTTAGGATAAGGAGCTCATCTTTGGCCAGGTTTTTTTTACCGTAACGAAACTCGGGATAAGTAAATAGGTGGCCTTTGGTGTGAAAGGGGGGGGGGGGGGGGAAAGGGGAGGCTGCGGTTCCCGAGGGGTGGCCTGTGAGCTTCTAATGGGAGGTAAAAATATGAATTTGAAATAACTTATTTCTTTATTTCAATTTTAGGATAAGGAGCTCATCTTTGGCCAGGTTTTTTTTACCGTAACGAAACTCGGGATAAGTAAATAGGTGGCCTTTGGTGTGAAAGGGGGGGGGGGAGGGGGAAAGGGGAGGCTGCGGATCCCGAGGGGTTGCCTGTGAGATTCTAATTGGAAGTAAAAATATGAATTTGTAATAACTTATTTACTTATTTCAAAAATGTTATCCTAAATTTCAAAAAAAAGAATCAAAGTTAAAATAAAAATAATGTAAACGGTGAAAGAATCATCAATTATATTTATGGTTCTTGTAATCAGAGCTGTCTCGTGATATTTTTGAGGACCCCTGCAGTATTTCGGTTTTGCGACCTATGTATTCAAACATTGGAATTTAGATATTTTCCACATCAAAAGTTTGGAACCTTAAATACCCAAATGCACCATGTAGCCTAAGGGGTTGCATGTATCCCAGCTGGGTTGCATGCGAGCTCAGGGGTTTGAATGTCAACCCAAAGGTTTGCACATTAGCCCAAGGGTTTGCCTGTCGGCCCAAAGGTTTGCATGTCGGCCCAAGGGTTTGCATGTCGGCCTAAGGGTTTGCATGTCAGCCCGAGGGATAACACATCAGCCCAATGGATCCCATGCCCATATGACTCCTAGGACCGTAGACATAAAGTCAGACGACCAGTAAAAAAGTTTGTAGAAATATTGAACTAAAATAGATCTACGGTCAACAACGCATGAATTGTATTTTCGTCCCCACTCTCACACCCCTATCCCTGACCACAATCATTTCCAAAAAAATGTAACAGAGCTGAGAATCACCAACAGGCAGCCTGCGCGTGATTTATTATAATCAGCTCGCTGTACTGAACGGGTCACGTGGACCGGCAGAAGTTTGACATAAATCAAAGATGTAATGGACGACTGGGATCGTGTGCATTGTTCTGATATCTTTGACACCAACTTTGGGTTGTTCTGATATCTTTGACACCAACTTTGGACACTGTAGCAATAACACCGGTATAACCAACCCACACGTTTCCCCACACCTGGTCTCGATAATGGAGAAAAAAAGTGGGACTGCACCAAGGTATAAACCACCACTGCGTCTGGTACATTCTAATGGCGGACAAGGTTAATTAACGCCAAATGTCATCTTTTTACAAAAGTAGGGCTGCAATGGACGTTTTTGTAAATGATATCGGTTTAACGATTTTGAACATTTCGTCAGCCCAGCGACTGGAGTTGAAGAGATGGACAGAAGCTCAACAATGGATCTTTATGTAAATGACGGTTCGCTCTACAAGAGCTTATCCCAAACTTTTAAGGTTGAGGGGGCCGTCGGACACGTCTTGAAATTTCAACAGGGACTGTTGCCAGGTTTATTCATTAAATTAATTCGACCAAAAATATATATATTTTTTTTTATGCTGTGCGGACCGGCAACGTGAGAAACACAGCTCTTACAATGTCTCCGTCAAAAACACGTCACTTGGCAAAAGACGCGACTTGATACAACAGAGGGCTGGAACAAACACGTGACTTGACTTACGTCGTGGTTTGCTCTATGTGGTTACTTTCAAAGTCGCGTGACTTTTGGAGAGCCGCTACCCCCCACCACCCCCAAAAGGCGATATTCTGCTCTGTGGCCCCCCCTCCCCCGAGCATTGCATTAACTTTTTTCGATATCGAAAATTTGGACCTCTTCAATATATATTCGAGCCATCTGTAGTCACAGGGGTCGCAACATCCATTTGATGGTTTTAGTGTTAATGCAGGTAGCGGTTGTTGATCTAACAGCTGCAGCCGCATAACAAATATTGAATTTTGTTGTGGTGGTAGACATAATAGGATAATAATTACAACTTTTGTTGGGTAAATCTTCCTTTATAAGGTTTCTTGCAAAAAACGTATTATTCCTAGATGACTCATATATAAAAGTAATACAATCTAGTTACCCTATAGAGGAGATTCACAAAACTATAATAAAGTATATACAGGCATTGGCTGGGACACCTGCTAGTTTTCTTAAAGCTATTTAATGCTCAGTGGCGTAACTATAGGGTGCAGACCCTACCCTCCCGGGAGGCATCATCAGAGTTGGGGACACCCAATAGAAAATTAGTTAGGGTTCTATCCAGTAGGCTTAATAAGAGAACTTATATAAATACAGAGTACCTCCAGAATATGGTGCCATCTTATCGGAGTGATAACCTAAACGGGTGTCATCAGATCATGATGCCACCGGAACAGGGTGTCAATAAATCAAAGTGCTTCCAGAGCAGGGTGCAACCAGAAAAGGGTGCCAGCATAGCAGACCAGCGTGTCACCAGACAGACAGGGGTGTCACCAGACAGACCAGGATGCCAAAAGAACACGTTTCCACCAGAAATAGTACTACCAAAAAACTACAAGCGGTTCTGCATAATTTTGCAAAAATTACTAAGTTCTGGTCCGGGGAGGGGGGGCTCTAGAGGGAGGGTAGGTGACACCATGAGTTTGTTGGCACAAACCTTAGTGACGCCTCTGAGTGAAGAGGATAACGATTCACGAAATCTGCGACCAAGACAGGTTTTATCGCAACCGCCGAGACTCAGATTGACAGTTTATGTGTATAAACAATACCCCTGGTCGAAACCTCCACGGGAGACCACAATGGTCATTGTAATCACACCCACGTGCGCTCCTGTCGTTTCACCCTGCGCATGCGCCGTAGTCTATACGTCAATCCCGCAGGTTCCCTTTAAATACAGCCAACGTTCTGTGACTTTCACCACAGGCAAGATCAAGAATATTGCGTAAGTATCTGTCTTATGTTGTGTGTGTGTGTTAGTTTTTTTGTTTGGTCCGCTCCTGTTTTAAACTGCGTTTATAAACTTTGGTGAGACTTCCGTCGACGGCCTAGGGGTCGGTTTAATATAAGAGCGATATTTTAAGACTCTGTCCTACCGCTAAGACACACTTACGTTGTTCAGTATTAAGCTTTGGAATGGTGGTCTCACTAGAGGAGCCACTAGTATGCGGTTCTCAACCCGTGGGCCTACGACCCTTTTGAGGGTCGAACGACCCTTTCCCAGTAGTCACCTTACACCATCGGAAAACACATATACTCTATAGTCATGAAGTAGAAACGAAAATAATTTTGTGTTTGGGGGGGTCGCAAAAACATGAGAGGGCTGTATCAAAGGGCAGAAAAGCGGAGACATCAACGCGTTTTGAATCACTCAGAGCGTGGGCAAAACATGTAGAACGCCATGGTCAATGCGGTCCCCAGCCACCTAGAACTTGTCTTGCTGCTCCACTCAGATGGAGTTGTGAGAGACTGAGATTGACAAATCGCGCTAAATCCAAGTCATATCGCCAGTCATTTTAAAACATCCATTTATCTTAGTTTGTCTCTTCAACCGTCAAAAACAGTCATGTGAAGATATGTGAGCGGCGAAGTGACATCCGTGAGAGCAGTAGCAGCCGTAGTCTGAAACCGGCGCATGGGCGGCGCAGGGATGTAGGGTCGTCGTTAAGGACTTCAATGTATATTGGGATTGCGCGTTGTTTAGAGATTATGTGTGTTGTTTTATGTATTATTCTTGTGACGTATTGTGTGAAAGGGGATATGATGTATCAATTGTTGTAAGTAGTGTGTTCTTGTTAGTAATGGCAGTTAAAGATGAAGTTTAGTTGTGTAAATAAATATCATTTATTCTATGAGGCATTGGTCTGTGTAATTACTAAAACCCCTAGACAGAACGTAGCCATCGAAACTTTGGGTAGAACCGGGTTCGTAACATTTCGTTGGTTCTTCCCGGATTTTTCTCGCTAGAGAGGATTTCATGGTATGATTGTATGCCGATGGTCCTGTGACTGCTCTGAGCGTTAACTACTGTCCGGCATCCCGATGGAGCGGTTTTGACGCTATTCTATATCCTTCCGTGCCTGCATGCTGCTGTATATGCGCGCTCCTTGTCCTGTATCCTGCTTTTCTGCTTCCCGATGGAGCGGGCTTTACGCTATCCTGTCGTGCCTGCATGATTCTGTTTCTGTGTGCTGCTGGTCCTGTATTCTGCTAAGTTCGTATTCTGCTGTCCTGCATTCCGATTGATCAATTTTTATGCTGTCCTGTATCCTGCCGTGCCTGCATGCTGCAGTATCTGTGAGCCACTGGTCCCGAATCCTGCTTGGTCTGTATCCTGCTGTCCTGCATCCTGCTGTCCTGCATCCTGCTGTCCTGCATCCCGATTGAGCGGGCTTTAAGCTATCCTGTCGTGCCCGCATGCTGCTGTGCTGCTCCACGGTTTGACGGTAGGCCGCTGTCTAGCCTGTGTCCTGTGGGTTCCGCATCACACTGTGACTGTATCCAGTTGTGCACTGTGCTGTATCCTGATTTGACAGTGTACCCCTGTCCTTTCAACACATTGGTTGACAAGACCAAGGCCGGTAGTCCAGAGACCCGTCATGAACAAGATAAAGCCTTAAGTTACTTTTTAAAAATTAATTAAGAATTTTATTTCTGTACATAGATATATATAGATATCATTTTTGTGTTATATACAATTTTTTAATTTATTATTTTAGTCTGTTGTTTTGACCCTACCCTGCTTGTTAAATTTATTAATATAAAGGATGAGAAACACAAGTGTAGATAAAACATTGATCTTAGAACTAAAGGAGTTTGGAGAGGACTTTGGTTATAAAGATGAAGATCTTACTAGGTGGGTCGAAAACAAGCTGATCGAAAAATATAGGCTAGATCGGGAGGAGATGGACAAAGAATGAGATAGACAGGCTAGGTTGGAACGGGAAAAACGGGATAGACAAGTTAGGCTAGAGCTGGAAGAACGAGAAAGACAAGACAGGTTAGAACGGGAAAAACGAATAAGACAAGTCGGGCTGTAACAGCTGGCCCAGGGGCTGGCACAAGCAGAGTTAAAGTTGCAGGGAAAAGATTATATGTGGAGAGGGGAATTAAGTAAACAAAAAACAAGTGGTTGAAGTTGAGAAATGGAAGAGGAAGAGACAGAAAGATGAGATTCGTGTGGTTAGGGAAAACGGGAATTAATGGGTGAAAGTTGAAAAGAGTGAAATCATTTTTGAAAATGACTTGAAGGAAAATTTTACCGAAGTTGTGGAGAAACTTAGGTATCCCGAGGAATGTAGTGGCAATGTAACTGAGGAGAGGGAGACAGAGTTATCTATAGTGGCAATGTAACTGAGGAGAGGGAGACAGAGTTATCTATAGTGGCAATGTAACTGAGGAGAGGGAGACAGAGTTATCTGTAGTGGCAATGTAACTGAGGAGAGGGAGACAGAGTTATCTATAGTGGCAATTAACGAGGTAGATTTAAATGACCATATGGTTGAGGTTAAGGAAGCCAGGAACTTTTTTTTAATGTAGCCAATAGTCAAGAGTCAGTTAGGAATTTTGCTAGCCAGGATGTAGAAAAAATGGGGGCTGAGTGTAAGAAAATTGACGCAGTGGTACTGTATGTTAGCGCAGTGGTAATGAATGTTGGCATAGGACATTGGAGTTATGAATATGTTTCATTGGTCATGTAGATTGTAGATATGACATTCGATAATACACAGGAAATAGATTTTTTGTGTGAAGGTGTGCAGGCCGTAGATTGTATTGTACAGCATGTGGATGCCGAGGAAATCCTAGATGGGACTTTTGATGATGTAAAAGGGTGTAGCCTTAGTAATTAGTCACTATGAGAGTTTCGATATTGTTCAACAGGGAAATATTGTCAGTGTACAAGAGAGATTTGTTGAGTTTGTACAGCAACTGGATGTTGATTTGGTGCAAGAGTGAGATGTTGATTGTGTACAGCAGTGAGATGTTGGTTTGGTACAAGAGGGAGATGATTATAATATTAAGTCTTGGGGCAAGCTACGGAGATCACGAAGTAGAGGGCGTGAGCTGGTTAAGGGGACGTAACTTCAACAAAGTGGTGGTCATAGGAGATCACCTTATATGGAGCCAGTCGGTGAATTTTGTGGTGTGCGAGACGCTGGTTACTCGAGATTTGGGAACGGTGGAGACACTGAGATTCATGTTTTTAATCCTGATTCTGAACATCACATGAAGGGTGTGAGTTTTTCCCTGAGATGAGGGTAGGAGAGACAATTCGTTTTCAACTAAATTAAACAAACCCTTAAAAACAATTTTTTTCGAATGAATCCATTATAAAATTTAATATCGAGCCATGGTGGGGCGGTGAGGCTAAAAATCTGGTAAAACATGCATGCAAGTAACGCACTTTGTAAGAATACCATCTAGTGCTCCCGCCCCTAATGCTCGCAAACACATATTATTTTTTTTCCCCGCCCAGAACGATCTTTATATTCTTATGACCCACTCACTTTTACATCGTACAGTCATTTCACCAACTCTTTCAGAAAAAAAAAAGACAAACTACAGAACATATGATGCACCAAACAAATCTGAATTATTTTTTGGTTAGAATGACGTACCGGGAAATTTATTTCGTAAATTCACGTTCCTTTCATCCTCCCTTAGAAGAATAGGTAAAAAACAACAACTGGGTTTCGTTTGTTGCAGTTTGGGGAGGGGGGAATTTTATAGAATATTCTATCATCGTCAAAGAGTCTATGGGATAAGTTTCAGCTTGATTGGTTGACGGGAAATGATTAATTAAAAGTCCAAACATTTTGCCGACCAGTTGGCCACCCACGAACAAAAAAGAAGATAATATGGACAATTTTATAACTAAAAAAAAACAGGATACCATGGGCTGGAAACTTAGAAAAAAAATGCCAAAATGGTAAAGAGGGTGCACCACCTAAACCCCCAGAGGGAAACGGCTCACAGGCGGACCTAGGTTTAGACGGACGGATGCCATGGAAAAAGATCAACAGCAGCTTGGAATCCAGGCGTGGAGAAGAAAAGCGTCAGGGTACACAAAGTACGGTGTGGAGTTGAGGTCGCACAATTTTTGGCTAGCAGCATGGCCACTGCATAAGTAGCTTTTACATAGCATGGTGACTGTGAACCCGCTCTGGTAAATATCTTTTGCTGCGCAGAAATGTTAGCCTGAACCCAGTGGAGTACCTCGGGGGGAGAGGGGGTGGAGATGCCTCTTGGGCTGCGAAATGTGTCACATCGAACAAAACTTGTAAAAATTGTTATAATTATTATTTTACAAATTTGCTTTTCTTCTTCTGATGTATTTTACCCCATTATAAAATTGACTCTACTCTGTGTGACCTCACCTGTACACTGTAGTCCGTGTGACGTCACCTGTAACACCGTAGATTGTGTGACATCACCTGTAAACCGTGCTTTGGTATGAGCTCACCTTCATGCTGTGACACACATTACAACCGCGTATCGGGTTGAGAATCTCAGAAACAAATCCACAGAGTGAGCTACATGGACAGCCTGCTTGGTCTCCTTACATTCTGTCAAATCAACGTATTGGAAGTCACCAAACTTCCCCACGTATAAAAATATAGTTTTACACAAATATAATGTAAAATTTGTTATTCACAATATTTCCACAGGAATTAATTTAAAAATCGAATACTAGAACACGTGCAACGACATAAATGAGTTTTCAAAACCAGATTACCTTAATCAAAATAAACATAGAAAAATAAACACCTAGGTGGGATATCTTCCCATTAAAGTGATTTCCTAAAACAAAAATTTTATAAATACGTTAAAGCCGTTGTCATGCATTCCCCTTAGATTAATACAACTATATTATTTATATATATATAAATATATATATGATGTCACGGTTAGATTAATACAATTTTAATGCGGTTTTCGTCTTGATTCTTCACAGTATTTCAACCCATAATTTAAATCTAAGAAGATGAGAGCCAGCAATCTACTGACTGTTTTCATGTTCACCGGTGTCTTCATGGCGGCTGCAACATCATTGACTAGTAAGTATTTTATTTTATTTTTTAAATTTATTACAACTCCAAAATATTCTTTGGATCATGTTTCCAAACGCTACAAAAGTAATAAAAGATTTTAAACGTGGAGACAATGACAAACAAAATAATACTAATTACAGTGAGAACTGTAGACCTTAGAAAATACACGTGACGAAATTAAAACAAAATATTGAAATCTATTGTACATCGCAACTTAAGAATTAATTACACCCCATGTTTTTATAAACACTATTCCTCGCACCCATCAAATACCATCTCAAATCTCCTATTTTGAGAATCCCTGCTCTAAGACAACATTTAAACATTTTTAATAAATCAATCTGTATTTTCAAATGCTTAAGTTCAGTAAGAAATAAATTTAATTGAACGCAAATTTGTAAAAATAGTTTTCAACATACCATTTGACTAAGTTGATAGTACAATGTTTTGAAGATAATTTGAGATCCGCTCCTGTAGGGCGGCAAAAATGTAGCTAGATAAAATTGTAAGCTTTTTCGTAACGAACATAATCATAATAAAAGAGTGTTTTAGGTATACAAGATATTTAATAAATTGAATAAAAATGCTTAATAACAAAAATTAAAAAAAACAATTTCCTAATTATTGAATGGTGGCGTTGATTATGAATTTGAATCTTTTTAAAATTGCAAAAAATTTTTAAATTTTTCTTCTAAAGTGATTATTGCAAATAAACTGCATACATTTTACATTTTTATTAAAAGAATTTCTTTTTTTAATAATATTTTTTTCGCTTTATTTCAGCTGGGAACCGTACAGACAAGACCCAAAAGGCGGAGCTTAGTAGAGAGAGTAGGGCACTTCCCCTCGTCCCCATTGTACTGAAATTGGCCTTGGGGGGAGCGACGGCAGCTGCATCCTATTGTGCAGCGCAGCCTATGTGCTGTGTTTCAAGTCTGATCAACGTAGCTAAACTGTCAGATGACATCTTGAACGGGATCATGAAGGCGATTAAATTCTTCAATGCATTCGGTTAACCTTGAAAACGGTGGCCACCCCCAACACGAGTTCAATTTTTTTTTCTTTTGCTAAATGATATTTCAATAACATTGTTATCCATAACTTTTGTTCATTGATTATAGAATTGGAGGATATATTCAAAGAAAGTAACTTGAGGTTAAAACATATTTGTTTCCCTGAAAAACGTTCTCTATTTTACCAAAAATAATGTGGTTCAATATTAAATTGTAGCATACAGCAGGGATGAAAAGAAATTTTAAAAAAGTATATTTAAAAAAAAATGATCCTTATAACAATTTTAATTGTTGAGTAACAAATGTCAAAGTTTGTTTAGTTTAAACATAAATAGACTCTGTTGTTAGTTAAGCTTTATAGCAGTTGTATTAATTTGTAAACAATTAATGTTGAAAACGTGTTTAAAACAATTGTCTTTGGAAAGAAAGTAATTTGGGGTTTAAAGATATATTTATTTTTATTTTAAACATTTTTGTAGAACAACTCTAAAACTGTATGTAGCGTTAGCACTCGCCTGTTGAATTGACACAAATGTTAATGCAGCTCTTTATCTCCCTTGACGTCTTATCTCATTTTAATTGAAATAATATATATATATTTTTTTTAAACACAACAGACAATTTCAAATGGCTCCCTGTAGAATTCGGTTATCTTCTTGTCCAAGTTGTTGTGTGAAAATAATTGAAATAAATCATTTAGCTTTCATGTTCTAATGTTGTTGTTATTGTTTATATTAAATGATGTTCTTTTAGCTAGTAAAGAGTTTCAGAGCCTACCCTAAAGCTTACACAATCATAACAGCACACATATACGAACAAACAAGTACATGTCAGCTCAAACACTCCCAAAAATAAATACGTTAAAAAAACATGATTTACAAATAATGTTTTGAAAAGATAATATTTTTAATGCCAGAACAATAGCGAAACAAACTTTTAATTTATCTTTATCATTATGTGCAACAATCTTAATTGAAATATTGTCAAATAACAACATCCGGTATAAACAGCTACATTTTTTTTTCTTCTTTTGAAACATTACACATGTAACAGTTTATTTTTGTAGTTTGTATAAGAAAACGTAAGTACAACTCTCATTAGCGAATTAGCTTGGTTCTAAACTACGACAACACTATAATGAAAATAATAAGTTACCTACTGCTTTTTACACATTCTGGACTACATATGATGAAGAGAAAAAAAATGAAGCACACAGATTCATTAGAAGAAAAAAATATATAAAATTTAAAATAAATTTGACAACGTAACATTCTAATAACTATAAAAATATGAACTATTTTCATTTAAGAATGCATCATTGTTTATCTGAGGATATCATTTACTTAACAATTTAAATCGAAACTCAGTAATAAAAACAGTTTTCAAGATGATAATTCCTCAATTAGATTCAAAAGAAAGTTCTAGGTACAAGGTTTGAACGCATTATTATTAAAACAATTCAGACAGTTTCATAATATACTAAACACTGTCTCATCGATGTATTGAATCCTAATTGAACACTTCTTCCAATAATGATAATTTTGAAAGATTTTCTTAATTATTAATTCATTGACATGAAACTCAGACAAAAAAACCTGACTTCATAAATATCAAATATTTTCAGTGTTTTTAAAATTGTTTAAAAATATTTGATCCGCAGAGGTCACGCAATGGTCAGTCGTGGTCACTATTGACCTGCTGATAATGGAAGTTTGTACAGTCATTTTAGGATGGAGAGTGGACAAAGTGTCCAACCCATTTGAGTTCAGAAAGGTTGTCGAATCTACACATTGAAAATTTGAACTGCACACAATGGTCAATGGAGAATTGACCAAGATAGGCAAAGACAAAATGTAAGGCTAAATAAAAAAAAAACCTTAAACATCCAACACATGCAAGTAATGGTGTCACTGATATTGGATCCAACACATGCAAGTAATGGTGTCACTGATATTGGATCCAACACATGCAAATTATGGTGTCACTGATATTGGATCCAACACATGCAAATTATGGTGTCACTGAGACTGAATCACTCAAAAGCTCTGGATTTAAGCATTGTCTCCAGTGGTTTTTAAATATGGTTAAACTTAAAAGTCTTACACACACTTTCACAAACCCCTGCCCCCCACACCTCAGAAGGGTGACATATGGTAACTATTACCCTAATCGTTTCAGTCAATTTGATAAGGAAGTCCGTTTTTTATATTTAAACTATGTTATTGAAATGCAGACAATTCTTTAATGGGCATTTTTTTGTTTTCGTTAATATTGTAAATAGGGGGGGTGACATAACAAAAAAAACCTTTTTAGTTATAATAATCAGCATAATCAGCAGTGATAGCCAAATATATATATATAGATATTCCTTCCTGTGAGCTAACGGTATTTTTTTTCTCTCATTGTTCATTTTCTTTTGCATTAATTACAATCCACTCCAAATACTCCGTTACTCTGACGTCTACAGGGGGGAAAACTGTATGGTTGCAATTGTACTTTTTGGCAACTGCTTGAGATACACCTGCAAGAACAAATCGTCCATCAACCTTACATGAAAGAGGACCGCCTGAATCCCCATAACATGTTCCACTTGCGTCATCATTCAAGTCCAAACACAAATGCCGGAAATCTAATTTTCCTCCCAGGGCAGAGTAAGAGAAAATACAAAGGCTCTGTGGCATGATATTCATCTTAGCTTGTTTAAGCACATGGGTTTGTTTGCCCGTATCATCGACGGATCCCCAGCCTGTCGCATAGCAAGCTCCATCCTCACCGCTCTCAAAACTTTGTCCTGGTTTGGGAAGGCATACTGGCTGGACATACTCATCGAACGTCGCCGCTTTGTCCAGCTTTACTAAAGCGATGTCATGAGCTGCGGGGGGTGTGTAGCCTTCGTGGACGATGACCTTTGCAGCGCTTCGAAACTGAACTCCGGAATCATTTCGCTTAAGATCCACCTGCAACTTGGAAATGTCCCCCACTCCTAGAAATAGCATCAAGGTGCCACCAATAACGCAATGGGCGGCAGTTAGTACCCAAGACTCTGAAATAAGGGAACCACCACATAAGAAAGTCATGTTGTCAGCAGGCTGTTGTCTTATCAAAAGAACCTGCCATGGCCAGGCTTTTTCTGGAGCGTCGTGACCATTCACGATGGCTGTACTACCATCGACAGAAGGCTTTCCACACTGATTGAGATTGTCAAATAGATTTTCATTTGTTTTACTGAAAGGTAACGTTGGTTCATTGTAGTCTAATCCTAAAACCTCTGCGTAATGCTTTCGAAAATAAGAAACGGTCCAACCGCTCGTGTGTGACAATTGGAAACATTTTATTGGTCTGCCAGGATGAAGTGAAGATAACGCGAAAACCTAAAATAAATATGGAAATGGCGATAATTTAATTTACAAATTATGTCTGTATTAAAGCTTGTCTAATTTGTCTTTCAAAAAACACGATTAACCTATTTCAGCGTAAAAACAAAATGTTTACTAAAAAAATATATATCTCCATAAATAAGTTTGAGACATTTTAAATAATATTTTTTGGTCTTTTCCTGGTTGGTTACCACTTATAGGAACAATACAGTTTAATACACACGCATTTACGCACCTTTGTAAGACTCACTGGCAGCTTGGCAGAAACATACAAATAATATTAAAGGACTACGTTTCAAAATCAAGACACAGATATGTCTGTCTGTCTGTTTCTCAGTCTGCCTGTTTTCTCGCCTGATTGCATGCCTATTTGTCCGACTGTCAGAATGTATTTCTATCTTTCTGTCTGCCTAACCATGCCACCCTGTATGTCAGCCTGCTTGCCTACCTGGTTGTCTATCTGTTTGTGTGTCTGTCTGTCTGCCCATATATTTATCTTACTTTTTTCCTGCCTGCCTATCTGTCTGTCTGCCTGTCTGTCTTTGTGCCTGCCTGTCTGCATGTCTCCCTGTCTGAATGACTGCCTGTCAGTCTCCCTGTCTATCTGTATGTTTGATGTATGTATGTATGTATGTATGTATGTATGTATGTATGTATGTATGTATGTATGTATGTATGTATGTATGTATGTATGTATGTATGTATGTATGTATGTATGTATGTATGTATGTATGTATGTATGTATGTATGTATGTATGTATGTATGTATGTATGTATGTATGTATGTATGTATGTATGTATGTATGTATGTATGCATGCATGCATGCATGCATGCATGCATGCATGCATGCATGCATGCATGTATGTATGTATGTATGTATGTATGTATGTATGTATGTATGTATGTATGTATGTATGTATGTATGTATGTATGTATCTATGTATGTATGCATGTATGTATGTATGTATGTATGTGTGTATGTGTGTGTGTATGTGTGTATGTGTGTGTGTATGTGTGTATGTGTGTGTGTATGTGTGTATGTATGTATGTATGTATGTATGTATGTATGTATGTATGTATGTATGTATGTATGTATGTATATATGTATGTATGTATGTATGTATATATGTATGTATGTATGTATGTACGTATGTATGTACGTACATTCGTACTTATGCATGCATGCATGTATTCATGTATGTAGTTCAGTAGCTAAGTATTATGTATTCATCAATAATGTATATCAATTAATTAAAAAATTTAACAGAATTTAAGAAGGGGAAATATAAAATATGTAAAAGCCAAAGTCAAATAGAGAACTGTTTTATAACTATACCAACCAACTGGACAACGATCTGAAAATAATAAAAGAATGAGTAATACGTTAAGGCGCGTTCTTTTAGCATTTACCAAATTGTGGATGAACGCACACAAACACACACACACCCCCACCACAACCACCACCCCCACCACCCACCAATCAAATGTCAAACGTTTTGCGTTACAAAGGTTCAATAAATATATCCATGTTAATGCGACAAATCCCCAGCGTGTATGTTATGAACCATTTTTCCGATTTTCCAAAAAATAAAAATTATTTACTATGAACAATGATTAATTGCAGTTACCGTGTCTGAAACTGAGAAGGCCTGCATGGTGATTAAAAACAAAAAAAATGTGTAGACAATCTACAGTTTCGGAGACAAGACCCTTTTTTTCCCCCTTGATTTAAACAAAAAAATCACTTCCGTTTAGCTCTAAATGTATTAATAAATTGATATTAAGTGTGCAAATAAGTTGCGCATTGCAGAAAACATTTTCACAACTCTTCTGCACAAGGGAATACATTCTGCACTAATATAGAACCACGTTTTGTTATATGGGTTTAGTTTAGTAAAAACATCAGGATGCTTTATTCTCCCAGTAATACTAGTAATGTTACAATCATCTAATGTCACTAACATTTCACGATATACAAATTCCTGAAATGACAATCCTTAAAAACTAGGGAGAACTCGGCATACTTTGCAATGCCACTCAAAGAAAAAAGTCTTTGTAATTTAATTACGTTTTTGAAGTAATTATTAAATAAAAAAAAAAAAATCAGTCTGGTGCGTACACAAATAAATTAGAAGGTTTTTCGACCAGTGAGCAAGACACATTACAGCTGTCCACGTGAGAAGTATGGGTTTTCAAAATTTAGTCCACACACTTGTAACGATTGATCCACCCATGCAGCAGCTCTGTTTATAAATTATATTTGTATAGCTCACATACAATTTTTTTAAAAGTAAGGCCACTGCCCCCAAACGCCAAATTGTAAAACGTTTT